AGCCTGGTCAAGCACCTGGTTGCCTAGAACGGCAGGTCTGAGGACAAGACCTGGAGGAAGCACCAGGGAGAATTTGTTTCAACTGTAACGGCATGATTTCTTGTCCCGTCCTGGCCTTTTTCCACAAGCAGGAAGGGAACCTGGTTGGATTACCCCTTCTGATCGACAACTACGTGCCCCCCTTGGAGGGTCTGCCTATCTTCATTCTCCGACTGGCCACTGAGGCAAGTGATGGAGCCAATCCTGATGACAGTCCTGTGGGTGTGTGTGCGCGTGGGGCGGGGAGGGCACATGGCCCTGCCGTCGTCTGTAATGATGAAGAGGAAAAGGGTAGCATGGTTAAGGTCCCTCTCATCCCCGCCCACCCCAGCAATACTCAGTAGTTCCAACTTACAGCTTTAATGCCTAAAAAGTCACGTTTAGTTTTTAAGCTGTCTGTTATCTCCATTTAGAAATGAAATGTGTTTAAAGCACGTACCTATGTTGAGGTATTGAATTCTCTCTTGGGAGCAGGTGAACTGGGATGACGAAAAGGAATGTTTTGAAAGCCTTGGTAAAGAATGTGCAATGTTTTACTCCATCCGGAAGCAGTATGTGTCTGAGGAGTCGACCCTCTCAGGCCAGCAGGTATGAGGGTGCGCACTGGTGCCCGGGACTGGGGGCACAATCTTGCCCTCTCTAAATTCCTAGGATCCGCTGCATATAAGCTTCAAACACAGTGGTCAGCTCTTACGAGTTTTATTTCCTTCTGAAATATAGAACGTGCCTCCAGAGTGACCTCACTGTCAGATGTACAAACACAAGCCATCGCAGTGAGAAATGAGAAGTTTCAGGGCTAATGGGTGGACTGTATCTCCCATTGGGAGCCTGGAAGTGTGTAGCCCCAGCCTTCAGGTTCTGGGTCAGTCTCCCCAGTCTCTTTCGGCTTGTGCCCCACTCTGCCTCTGACCACTGCTGTGCCAGCTGTACGGCTGTACTTGGGTCAGGGCCCCAGCTCTTCTTACGGAAGGTCAGGCTGGGTTCCTCACGTTTCTGTGTCAGCTGACAGTGCTCTTTTAATCCACAACTATTTCGGAGGGTTTGGCTGGGTCGGGGAGAGGGGACTGAAATACAGGAGTACCTCAGAGATTTTATTGGTTCCATTTCAGACCACTGCAGTAAAGCTAGTTGTGCAATTTTTTTTGTTTCCCAGTGCATATAAAAGTTATGTTTATACTATATACTGTAGTCTGTTAAGTGTACAGTATAGCACTGTCTCTAAAAAGCCAGTGTATATACCTAAATTAAAAAATGCTGTTAGAAAAATGGAGCCAGTAGGCTTGCTCAATGCAGGGTTGCCACAAATGTTCAATTTGTGTTTAAAAAGAAAAGAGAAAAAAAAATCGCAACAGTCTGCAAAGTGCAGTAAACTGAGGCCTGCCTGCAGTGTAAGAATGGAAGGGTGGGTACTTGATACACGTAACTGGCTCGGTGATTGCTCCTGGTCCTCCTCTGAGATGACATGCTGTTGCTCCAGCTTCATGGGTGAGGAAGCTAAGGGACAGTTTCAGCGGGTGCTCAAGGGTTCCCAGAGCCTGTGGGTGGTGGAGCAGAGATCCAGTCCCAGGTCGTGTTTGCCAGAGCCCCTGGAACCATCTCATTCCAATGGAGGCGGCAAGATAGCACTTACCAAACTGTGCTGAGAGTATTCCGTTTGATTGGAAACACTGACTTCAAGGTGAGGAAGGATGGACGGGAAAGAACATCTTCTTTTACATGAGGCAGCCTAAGGCTTAGATGTAGGAGGGGGAGGGTGGAGTAAAATAATCCTCATTTATTTTTTCATTTCTTACCTGTGGAGCTTTTTGGGAAATAGAACTACATTGAGACTCCAAATTTAGTGGTAATTACGGAATGTACTTCCTACTACTGCCATCCAAACATTATGTTAGATCCTGCTACAGTAAACACACTCTCCCTGAATGGTAACAGCTTCCACGGGAGGAAGCGTCACGAGAGCCACGACTGATTCTTTTCTTCCATTTCATCTCTCTGCTCAGGCCTGTAGGATCCCTGAGAGGCTGGCCTAGAAAAGATACTTCACAAGCATTAGGTCACACAGCCCATTATAAGCCACTAGGACCCTCCAGGCCCAGTGCACATCAGCCAGGAAACCAGTGTAGACTGGGATGTGAACATCTAACATGTCTCTTTCAGAGTGAAGTGCCCAGCTCTACTCCAAACCCCTGGAAGTGGACTGTGGAGCATGTCGTCTATAAAGCCTTCCGCTCACACCTTCTGCCTCCGAAACATTTCACGGAAGATGGAAACATCCTGCAGCTTGCTAACCTGCCCGATCTATATAAAGTCTTCGAGAGGTGTTAACTATGGTCGTCTATGGCCTCTGGGATGGGTCGTTCTTCCTCTGTATCCCGACATTGGTAGGTTAAACTCACACTTGTCATTCTAACTAGTAGCACTCCTTCATGCATGGTGGATTGACTATAAATAAATAGTCAAATTTGTCCTAACATGGTTTTTTATTTAATTTCATTACACTTGAAATTTTCCTAGATCCATTTTCACCTAGTGTATACTGATTGTGTTGAAGAATCCCAAAAGTAGTTTGAGAGCCTCCTGGACGTCTGATAAGAATTCTAAAAGGGCCTTAAAGACTTTATAGATCATGCATTGATTCGATTTTTTCTGTGTTCTGGTGAATTTCTAATATCAGGTGATAAATATTATGTTGGTTCAGGTGCCTTTTTAAAAAAAGAGGTCCTCAACCTATAAGAGGTGCTGATGACATTGTCAATTCAGCTTTCTGCATAGTCACTCTATTAGTACCTTCAGTAACCAAAGCTAATTAATTTATTCTTAATTTAAAAACTTGAATAGTTCTTATCCAGTCCAAAACAGGCATGAATTTTTAAGTTAGCTCACTTTGTTAATGGCTATCAATACTACCAGCTTAAGATAAAGGAATTTCTAGGTATTCTTGTTTGAAGGGTGTTGTAAAAATACAAACTGAAACTGTAAGTACCATTAAAATAAGCTCCCTTAATATTAGCCTGCACTAATAGAAATGTGCAGTCAGCACAGGGAGGAAGAATGCCTATAGTTTTGAGGTAAAGTCCAGATTACAAGGCTCAGTGAAGAAAGTTCTGTGGAAAAGAGAAGAGTCTATTTTACGAGAAGTGGAACCATTCCACTTGGAAAAGACCGGGACAACAAAACAGCTCCAGGAGGAGCACAGCCTGAGTGACCGTGGGTGGAGAGGAAGAGGGCTTTCCAAGGCCTCAAGAGGTGGACTACACGATGTTTGTTCCAGGTATGTATGGGATTCTAGGATAAATCTGCACTTCAGAACATGCCTCTTCACTGCCCACTCCCACACATCAACTGAAAGAAAACTTATAGGAAATCATCTCAAAATATGGAAACCAATTTCCTGAATTATTTTATTTTTTAAAATAAACTTATTTATTTAATTTATTTATTTTTGGCTGTGTTGGCTCTTCGTTGCTGCTTGCGGGCTTTCGCTAGTTGCAGCGAGCGGGGGCTACTCTTCGTTGCGGTGCACGGGCTTCTCCTTGTGGTGGCTTCTCTTGTTGCAGAGCATGGGCTCTAGGTGCGTGGGCTTCAGTAGTTCTGGCACATGGGCTTAGGTGCTCTGTGGTATGTGGGATCTTCCCGGACCAGGGCTCGAACCCGTGTCCCCTGCATTGGCAGGCGGATTCTTAACCACTGCACCACCAGGGAAGCCCCTGGTTTCCATGTTTTAAACACAAAGAGCTAATTATTCTAAAGAAGGGAATAATTATTAGAGATTTTATTCATATTTAAGTTAACTTTATTACCTAGTTTCAAGTCTAATTTTATCTTATGTGGCCTTAATTCATTAGACTTTCCCCCATATTTTTTCCGTGTAAACACACTGAAGATACAATAATCATTTCCATAAAACCACCTCAATTCTGAGAGCAAAAGAGAATCACAAATACTGTAACATGGCTACGACTCGATGATAAAATCCTCAAACTGGGTGCCTTTAAAGATGAAACTGAAGTTCTTAAAAGAAATTCTATATTCCAGATTATTTTTCCTTAAGGAGATTATTTTGAGAGAAAAGAGGGGCGAGCTAGGCGGGCATGATTGCCAGTGACTAGTTTTAAAGGCTCCTCTAAGAAAATGAATGTGGCAGTAGCCAACTGTAGTCAGCAAAAGGGTGTATTTAATAGAATCTTCAGGTCGACTTCCCACCTGCCTGGCCTGGCCTGCCCTCCCTCCCTCATCGGGCTGGTCTGAGGTTTCATTCCACAGATGAGCAGCAGATGAAATACTTTTCAAGATACAGCACAGTTGATGTGAAGACTAAGGACCCTACTCTTACTTTAAGAGTACAGGCCTTGGACTTCCCTTGCCCCATGCAATAAAGCAAGTTTTATATACACTCCCCATATCTTTTTCTAACATTTTCTTATATAAATTTAAATATCTTACAAAAAAAGGCTTTTTCCTCCAAACATATAAATTTGAGTGAAACATATTCCCCACCTGTGAACTTGTTTCTTCACTAAAATATAAATGCTACCTGATATTAAGGGTAAATGTCTTTTGACCACTGGAGATTACTGAAGTCTGAATTGCACTGTGGAGAAGGCACTTGTGTTTTCTGAGGTCTCCAGGAAGTACCTCGGTGAGCGCTGAACTGCTGTCCTCCAGAACCCGTGCCAAAGCCTCCGAGTGCCCAGTCACTGAGGCAGCTGGGGAAAAATGGTGAGTAAACTTGATTCTAAAATTATGGAAATAAAAAATAATAATGGCATGGACCAGTTCTTAGTCTAGAATCAAACTACCAACAAAATCCAAAGTGTTCATTCATGAAGATTCAAACCTGTTTCATTCTCTCATAAATTATAAAATACAAAGGTGGCTATTTTAATGACAAAGCTCAAACAGTCCTGAAAGGGGTCTGGGTGGACGAAATATCAGTCCTTCCGGGCGGCAGGGCGGCCTCCCTATTGCTGGGCCAGCAGTGCTGTCCTGTTGGCCTTCATCTTCTCCAGCCGCTTGGCCAGATGGCTGTTGGTCATCTCCATCTCCTCGATCTTGTCCAGTGCTGTTCGTAACTGGAGACAGGAAGAGCTCGGTCACTTCACATGGTCAAAAACGAAACCCAGCGCTACTTTCCTATCCAGTTTCTGGGAAGTGGAAGCACTGCATGCGATCCTGCAGTTGCATTGTTTTTCAGGCAGCCAGAGGTGTTAACCAACGGTGCTGAACATTAATCACAGAGAGGACATAGAGAAGCTGGAGAAACAGACCTTGTCTAAAACAAAAACTCTTTTTCTTATTATCTGACCAAAACATAAAAGTAAATGGCAGTCAGTCACTGTGTAGGTCAGAAACCAACACAGAACAGTGATTCCACTGCTGTTTCACTAAGATTGGAGCCGGGATTAAATTCCTTATGCAGCAAAGAATTTATCTCCAAAGGATTTTTTTCTTTTTAGGAAAGTATTCCAAGAAGCATAATAAAAGCAAGTACCTCTCGTTGTAGCTTCCTCTTTTCTGCTTTCAGTTCATCCTCGACTTTCTCTGCATTCTCAGCAGCGGTTTTATATCTTAGCACCTGCCCCTCCAGGCGGCTGATCTGTAAATATGAGAACACAGGCCTCTGGTGCTGGCACTAGGAACCACCACTTTTTTGCAGCCAAGATGGAAATACAGTGTCATGACAGATTCCAAGTAATCTAACACAAGTCCCCTCAGGGGGAGTCAGAGGTCCTCTCAGAACTCAACTGCTATTTATACATCTAGAACTGTCCCTAGAGAGGATGACAGCTGTAGAGTCATTATAGGGCCAATTTCCCATGTTAAGTTTTACGACAACCAGATTGTTTAAAAGCCATAGTAACATCGCAGGAAGAGACTCCCTGATAGACTTTCTGAAATATACAATAAGGGATTATGTTATAAACTACAATTTTCTTGAAGGCTCTTGAAATAGCTACAAGAAACAATTATAGCTTCAGTCTCATTCATTCATAGAAAAGGCTGAAATGCCCTTTCAGGTGTTCTCTGCTGGCTTTTCCACTTTAGAGCTTTTATAGAGATTCAAGTGCAAAGGCAGTTCAAAAAACCTAGGCATTCATGGGGTTAACCACTGAGATGCAGGAAGCAGATGTGTTGTAAAAGGGACATAAATCACTTGGTACTCTACACAAGGAGGACTTACACTTTGCTCCAAGGTGGTTATATCCTGTTCTGCTTTTGAAAGCTTAAACTTGTATTCACTAATTTGTCTGTTGGCATCTCCTAGAACAGAAGAGAATAATAAACCATCTCACAGAGGTGAAGGTGTGAACGTGAGGCAGTGAGGCCCCCTGCAGCACAGGAGAGGACCGTGCAGAGGAAGAAGACAAAGCACAAATGCACACAGGCAACTGCGGTATGTCAGGCAACTGCGGTATCTCCTGCAGTGCAGGTTCTGGCACATCTATGCTATGAGAAGCTCTAGCGCTTGTGTTGCAACAGCATTTTAGAAGAAAATTCTCTCTTCACGCCATGATGTGTGCGGGTAGAGGTTGAAGCAAGGAGCGCTGTCAGTGCAGCAGGGCCCCTGCCAACCTTACCTGCAGCCCCATGGCCCAGGGAGCCTCTGTGCCCACGGGACCAAGGCCCCCCCTCCAGTTTCCCTGCCCCCAGACCTATACCTTCCCATCTCCCCAGGTATCCTGCTCCCCCCACAGCCCAAGTGCCCTTTTCTCCCCACCTCTGATCTAAGTCTAACCAACCTTTAAGGTCCTGCTCAAGGTCCTGCTAAATTTTCACCTCCTTCATGACTCTCCTTAGTTAACTCAAGCTTCTCCTTTGTTGCATTTTTTTGGACTCTTTTATGACATCATGCTTTCCTAACATTATATAGGTATGTAAGGACAGGGGCCCTGTTTTGGCTTCTTGAATCTACCTCTGTTTCTAGCCAAGTGCTTTGCACGTAATGTACGCTTAATATTTACTGAAATAAATGCTTTTCAGTAATATGTTGTGATAATGTGTTAAGGATACAGCTATAAATCATTAGCTGTATATCTGACCTAAGAAGCAAACCATTTAAAATGAGAAGCTTAGAAATGCTGGGGGAGAAAAATTCCAGCAATCCAAATTTAACAAAAATCACTCTGAACTAATTACACTGTAACAGGAATCATAAGGCCTGCAGGAGATAAACCAAATCTACCCTACTTAAGAACTTTTCTACTTTTCCATAAAACTAAGGTTAAAACTACCTACGTAATCTTTAATGCGAAAGGTTTTTCTAATTGGATAATTACTGTCATCCTAAAAGTAATGTGGTTATAAAAGCCTCTCCCCAAAAGCCATCTTTGGTAGCGAAAGAGAACTACTCCCATTTCTGGGCCTAAAACTGAAGCGTTAGGATATTGTTTTTTAATTCTTAACTCCAGCAACTTATTATCAAAATGTGCTGCTTTCTTCTCACCAAACCACTCATTCCTTCCTGTTTTCAAAAGTATAAATCCCTGGTCTCAGCCATTTATTTCATGCATGTTCTGAAATTCCATCCCCAAACACCATGCTTACAGACAAGGCAGCTGTCCAGAACTGAGAGTCACCAGGTTCCTGTCCCGGCCTCTGGCGCAGGGGAGCTGCCTGCTTCTGTCGCTACATGCCAGGCCCAGCCAGGCGCAGCCCGGCCCAGCCCAGCCCTGCCCGGCCCTGCTCTGCTCACCTGGGTCACAGCCCCACCCCGGTCACTTGCCCTGCTTGCCAGAGACGCCAGCTCTGTCGTGGTGCCTGCTCTGGGAAGGTGTCACACATCAATGCACACCCATTCCTCCTCAATATGATTCCTTTTGAATTTGCTGTTTTAGGCCAGACTCTTCCAAATCTGTGCACTGCCCTCTCTCTAAGACTGTTGGCGGCCACTGGACTGTTTTGGTCACTATCACAACCTCCTAACTAGTCAGCCTAGCCTACCTTTTGTTATGCCCCTCTTCATCTACCCTCCACGCCAAATCGGTAGTTCTAGAACAAAATATTTGAACTATGTCACAAGGGTTCCAACTGATATCCAATAGAGGAAATGATACTAACCTCAGAAGTTAATAGTAATAAGTTAGTTTTAATAAGCCTGGTTCAAAAAGGCTTGTCTATTTGCCCTGCCTAACTCAGAATATTTAGATAAAAGGGCCATGGAATAACCACTATTTTAAAATAAGTTATCAGAAAAGCCTTATTCAAATTGGAAAAATAAGGGTCTCCCCTGTGTGATTATACATTATCTAACTGTATATGAATGGCTGCTAAAATCTCCCCGCTGTGGGGATTACTGTGAATACCGTAGGCACTTTAAAATAATATGGGGTTAAAAGCAGAAAGGCAGAACAACTGAAATAATTTGGGTAAACTGAGTAGGCTTACTTTGTGGCCTTGGTTTAAATTCCATCTAATAAAGATTAATTTGGGTTAACAAGACGACTTCTGGGAAAATTCTGAAACTACTCCAGAGTAGTGTGAGTTAGTTCCAAATATATCCCCCTCCAGTTATCTAAGATAACTTCCATAGAAAAACATGTCATCAGGAAGGGTGCTTACAGATGACCCGGGGATGTGGAAAAGGATAGTGTCATGATGTCACTATTTGCAAAATGTTCTAGAAATCACTTTGCCAAGAAGCGGGGAATGCATTACCTCTCAGGCCTTGTCACCCCAGGAAGCACACAGCCTAGTAAAAACCTCTTCAGTTCCATGACTGACCAGGATGGCTTTTCTAGTCCAGCTGAGAACTAACCAGTCTTCAGAACCACAGGCTCTAACAGCCTGCTCACAACCACGTCCCGGACACAGCCCCACGCGGGTCAGCGGCGGCCCGGCCCCAGCCTTACTCTGCATTTCGATGAGCTGCAGGTCCGAGCCATTCTGCAGTCCCGCCAGGTCACCTGCTGTGCCATCGCTCCTGGAGCACTTCTGCTGTTCCTCCTCCAACTGCAGCTTCAGTTTTCTAATCTGAAGAGGAAGTAAAGGCTTATCCGTGAGATCCAGTCTCTCAAATGAAACAGGTGCTTGGCCTGGTGTCCACATCTTAGAATAAGGCCACAAATCATTCATTCAGAAACTGTTTCCTGGAGTGCCTGCCATGGGGCATGCTGTGCTCAGGTGCTGGAGATCAGCTACGAACTAATTATCAAAAGGAGCAAGCTCCAGGACCAGGTGTCCCAGTTAAAAGAGCCGTATTTTATTATTTGTGTAGGTCTGTGGAAAAGTACATCTTAGGAGTTTCTTTTTGTTATTTTTTATTAAAAATGGAAAATTCATGGGCAGTTAGAGGTTTCTTGTTTAGTTAGGTTAAATATTCTTATTTAGAAAAACTGTATACAGAAATAATTGGGAATATATTTTTGAGTTCGGCTACATAATCTACCTTATTTTACCCAAAATAAAGGCCATTCATAGCAGCTTATACATTAATAGCCCCAAACAAGAAACAAATGAAATGTCCATCAAGAGAAGGATAAGTAGGGCTTCCCTGGTGGCGCAGTGCTTGAGAGTCCGCCTGCTGATGCAGGAGACGCGGGTTCGTGCCCCGTTTCGGGAAGATCCCACATGCCGCGGAGCGGCTGGGCCCGTGAGCCATGGCCACTGAGCCTGCGCGTCCGGAGCCTGTGCTCCGCAAATGGGAGAGGCCACAACAGTGAGAGGCCCGCATAACGCAAGGAAAAAAAAAAAAAAAGAAGGATAAGTAAATTGCGGTCGATTTATACAGTGGAATTATTACTCAGCCAAAGAAGGGAACGTACTACTAATAACGTGCAGCAACAAGGTGAATCTCAAACTGAGTATATGCTGCGTGGAAAACTCCAGAAAATGCAAACTGAAGGGACAAAAAGCAGATCAGTGGTTGCCTGGAGAGAGGGAAGGAGGTGGGAGGGGAAGGAAGGTTTACAAAGGAATACAGGAACTTTGGCGAAGTTATGGATATTTTCACCATCTTGATTGTGGTGATGGTTTCACAGGTATTGCTGTGAGATAAACTGTCCCCCCAAATTCGTATTTTGCAGTCCTAAGCCCCAGTACCTCAGAATGTGACCTTATTTGGCAACAGTCACTGCAGAGGCACTTGGTTGAGATGAAGTTATACTGGAATAGGGTGGGCCCCTAGTCCAATATGACTGGTGTCCTTATAAGAAGAATGCCACATGAAGAGACAGGCACAGAGGGAAGATGTGCTAAGACAGAGAATGTCATCTACAAGCCAAGGGACCCCAAAGATAGCAAAATGCCAAAAGCTAGAAGAGAGGCCTGGAACTGACTTCCCGTCACAGGCCTCAGAAGGAACCCACACTGCTGACACAGGGCTTCTCACCTCCAGACTGTGAGGTGAGAGGACATTCTGTTCTTCTACGCCACCCGGTTTGTGGTGCTTTGTTATGGCGGCCCTTGGAAACTAATATAGCTATGTACATCTGTACACTTTAAGTATGTGCAGCTTCATGCCAGTTATAACCTAATAAAGGTTTTTCTTTTTCATTTACAAAATAAACTAAAAAATAAAATTAGGAGGGACTTTGGGTTGGGAGAAAAGAAGGCCCAGGTGGAGGCAAGAGTCTCACATGTGGAAAATAAGATTAGACGGACAGAAATGAACTGCATGCTGAGGCCTCTGGTCCACTCTCAGTTCCCAAACTGCACACCCAGCTAGGACTGTAGCTCAGGCACAGGACGGGGTCTCTCTCTTTAGAACTCTCTGACTAGCCTAAAATAAAAGACAAACAATAACCACATCTAAGGTTCCCAATAAGACACCCAGCCACATCAAGCTTCACAGAGACTTGGACGAGCCCTACCCACAAGCTCAGAGCTGCCCACCAGCTGTTTAGTCCTCTACTTTTAAACTGAAGACCAACTAAATGTACATAAAAGAATATCTGGAAGGAGACAAACTATGCAGATAGAAAAAAAGAATCAGGAAGCGAACCAACCAGCCTATCAATACCCTCTGAGATAAGTGAAAATATCTGCATCCTTGAAATGACTGCAGAAATAGAAACTCAATAAAAATGAGAAGATAAAGGTGAGAATATCTTTTAGAAAGCAGAACAAATGAGACGAAAAGGGACGGAAAAACAGGAGAGAAACGATATCTGTCCCGAGGTCTGATCCCCCTCACCACCCCCAAATCAAATCAAAGTCGTGTTTCTCCAAATGCCTACAACTCTCATCATCAGAGATCCAGGAAGGAGCACAGATCAGAGCAAGTCTGCCCTCTCCTACAGCGGGCCACCTCCAGACCAAGACCAAGCGTCCCCACGCCTCCTGCGTCCTTCATCATCAGGGGTCAAAGGTGAGTCTGCGTGCTCAGAGTTCCAGGTGGCTTCCCCAGCTGTCCTTGGCTCCATCCACAGGGGTCAAAGGGAAAGCTCAGCACTCGGACCAGGTCTGCCCCTCCCCTGATGGAGAAAGGGTGAGCTCGGCACTGGGACTAAATCTGTGCTTCCCAGACAACTCTGCCCTCTCAACCATGACATCACTATCTGCCTCGGGTCAACCGGGACTAATCTCATCATCCCCGTCATTCCTGTTCAGTGTCCATCTCGAAAAGGCTTGTCGTCCCTTTTCCTGCACTCCTTCCCAAAAGGCCTGGTACAAGCCCTACTCTGTCTTCCTCTCCTAACCTTTCCCAAAGCCTGACACTCCTGCACTGCACCCTCTGGACTATCCTCCACCCTCTCTGTGCATCCCCATTACGCCATCGGTGCTCCAATAGAGACCTGCCCTCCCCTGAGGGGCCTGCTTCCTCTGCAGCCTGGCTGGCCTTTCAGCCCTCCTCTCACTGAGCCTGAGAATGGATCAGGTGCCTTCTTGTATTCCTTGCTGTTACAAACTCTTCTCCCTCTAGCCTCCCTGAGTTCCCAATGCATCGCTTCAGATTATAAGTACTAACCCCACCTCATCATTGCCATCTCCCCACTCTTTCGTCACCATTTTAGCTCCTAACTCACATGCTCTCCAGGCTACTCCTGCCTTAATTGTTGGCAAATTCAAAATACATCTAAGTAGGATCTCTCCTACAACGGATCTCTAGTGTCTGGAGCAAGGATCTTGCCACGTATCCCACCTTGCCCTCAGCCTCTCGCTCACACCGTCATATACTAGATCTCACCACTAGACAACAGCAGTCCCTACTGAATTCAGTTCCATGTATCTTCTCTCTAACCACTACTCTTGATCTTTCTAGCTCATTCCCTCTGGACCCAACTCCAAAAATCCTTCAACCCCACTGGCACCTATAGTCCACTGTTTCCATCTTCTCTTTGCTGTGCCTTGATGTATTCCTGGATTTCCCTCAAACCTCCTTACCCAGTTTAATCCCCAGGTCCGTCATCATCACTCTCGCACAAGCCCTCACCTCCTCTGCCCTATTATGCTCACCTGGTAAAATCTCTCTACCCACTCCACGCCTATATCTATGCAGCTACTTGTGCCTGGAGAAGCACACACAATAAATGCATTCACGCAAAACTCCAAACCACATCACTGAAATCTCAGAACCCTAGGGAGAAAGGAGAGTATGGTACAAGCTGCCAGAGAGGGAAAAACGGGTCATAGACAAAAGATCAAAAATCAAAATGTCCTTGAAATTCTCAATAGCTGTGCAGGAGGCCAGAAGACAATGAAGCAATTTATTAAAAACAAAACAAAACAAAAAAACGTTCTGAAGAACCTAGGGGCAGGACAGGAATAAAGATGCAGATGTAGAGGATGGACTTGAGGACACGGGGAGGGGGAAGGGTAAGCTGGGACGAAGTGAGAGAGTGGCATGGACATATATCCACTACCAAATGTAAAATAGGTAGCTAGTGGGAAGCAGTTGCATAGCACAGGGAGATCAGCTCGGTGCTGGGTGACCACCTAGAGGGGTGGGATAGGGAGGGTGGGAGGGAGGGAGACGCAAGAGGGAAGAGATATGGGAACACAGTATATGTATAACTGATTCATTTTGTTATAAAGCAGAAACTAACACAGCATTGTAAAGCAATTATACTCCAATAAAGATGTTAAAAAAAAAGAATGAAAATGATTACAATGAGGAATTCTATAGCCCCATCAAACTTAATCAAGTAAGAGGACAAAATGAAGAAGACATTACAGTCCTGCAAAGTTAAGAAAAATGTACAGCCCCAAAACTCTTTCCTCAGGAAGCTACTGGGGGATGTACCAGAATAAGAGAATGGACACAGAAGGAGGGAGGCAGATGCTGCTCCAGCCTGGAGCACAGGCAAAGGAAACTCTAGGTGATGGTGAAAGGTGGTCACGTCTCTGTCCCGGGGGAGCGAGCCTCTAAGTTCACAAGGGGTGAGTCAGATGCACCAAGAACCAAAAGAGATGGAACTGAGGGAATACCTGATGCATCTGAAAACATGCATCAGAAAACACCAAGAGTGGACTGAAACGACTATTGGAGAGTCTGCAGCTAGATTAGTAACAAATACATAGGAAACCAAGCAAATGACAAGAAAAACCACAATACTAACTTCAGGCGAACTAAGGAGTTGTGAAGGAGATGAATCCTAGAATGCTCCATGGCTCCACTGTGAGCAGTGTTTACAGAGTCCTGATAACGTAAACAGACTGGAATCTCACTGCTCCTTTATTAGGAGATGTGGGGATGGAAAGTATACATGCGTGTGGTAGGGAGAGGGGATGAAGGAAAGATTAATCCTTACGTCCCACAGAGGGATGTCAACAGAGCAGCCTTAAAAAGAACAATCAAGAAGCAACATAGCATGTTATACAGAAGCATACAAGGGCGGTACACACCACAAGAATCAGCTAAAGGAAGCAAAAGGGGTGGTCGGGGCTGGAGGTGGGGAGAGGGCAGGGCAGGGCACTTCTGTCTTCAGAACAGGCTTTTAAAACTATTTGACTCCTTAAACTTCGTGTCCTGTAATTTTTTTTTTTAAGAACAGGAGACAACAAAGATGAATTATCTTTTTATCCTTCAACTCTTACTTGAGTAGTGATGTTTGAAACAAGCACATTTCTTTCTAGTGTACATTTTAGTTTGCTAACATTTTACCATATGATTTAGTCAGTTACAATTAACATCCCCTTCCAACGAGAAGAATACCTTTACCTGGGATAGCAGCTCTTCTTTTTCTCCAGCAAGTTTTCGTAGCCTTACATCTAAGACAAATGAAAAATTTGTAATGTTGTAGTACATAAACAAGTTAAAATAATTCTTCAAATTCACAAACAGCAAACATCTGAAAAACAGTTCATAGCTCTGAATATCAAGACATGAAGGCTTTAATGGTGAAAGGAAAAGTACTTAATTATTCAACACATATTTCCACACAACTGATATTTATCAGGGCACTAAATACAACATTTGCTCCCAAGAGCAGTGATTTTCCATCTGAAGACAAAATGAAGTACAAAGATCATTTCCTTGTTTCAAAAATTTGCAAGTTTTACCAGTAGACAGACAACTCGAAGCCAAGGGTACTCCCACAGGCTCTTAAACCCTTAGCAGGAGAAAACAAACTATGGGAGAGAAGGCAGGGGCTAAGAATGGGCCTGAGAGGGGTGCTGGAGCAAAGAAAACAGAGGAACACAATGATGGAAGAAGCAGAGGCCCACAAAGCTAGTTGCGGGGAGGGAAGGGGACCAACTCTAAGATGTGTGCCGTCAAGAGCCATCTGAGGGGCTTCCCTGGTGGCGCAGTGGTTGAGAATCTGCCTGCTAATGCGGGGGACGTGGGTTCGAGCCCTGGTCTGGGAGGATACCACATACCGCGGTATGCAACTAGGCCCGTGTGCCACAACTACTGAGCCAGCGCGTCTGGAGCCTGTGCTCCATTGCGGGAGAGGCCGCGATAGTGAGAGGCCCGCGAACCGCGATGAAGAGTGGCCCCCGCTTGCAACTAGAGAAAGCCCTCGCACAGAAACGAAGACCCAACACAGCAAAGGTAAATTAACTAATTAATAAACTTCTACCCCCAACATCTTAAACAAACAAACAAACAAAAAACCCAAAGGAGCCATCTGAGGCTTGGTAGCAGGACTGCTAGGGCTCGCTCCTGGCCTGAGGGGAGGGCTGCTTCTTCCCAACATACATTAATATAGGCCCCTTGGGGCTTCCCTGGTGGCGCAGTGGTTGAGAGTCCGCCTGCCTATGCAGGGGACACGGGTTCGTGCCCCGGTCCAGGAGGATCCCACATGCCGCGGAGCGGCTGGGCCCGTGAGCCATGGCCGCTGAGCCTGTGCGTCCGGAGCCTGTGCTCCGCAACGGGAGGGGCCACAGCAGTGAGGGGCCCGCGAACCGCAAAAAAAATAAATAAATAAAAAATAGGCCCCTTGGACTGAGGGGACACCTACAGATGAATTTTTTACAAAAGCACCTGACACCCAGCCAGCACTCCCCACAATCCACCAAGGTCATGGCCAAATGTTTCGGCACCTCCCATCAGGCAGAGAAAACCATCTGAGCTGCCCATGGCTGTACACTCAGTCTATTCCCCACGGCAGCTCTCACTCACCTCACCGGCATCCTCTGCTTTATCAAAGTTCTCGACAGTTACACTTCCAGAATTCTGTACGTTAGAGAATGTGCCCTTTAAAACGTTTTTTGGCTGCCCGCCCCCCTTTACATTATAGTATATCTATTCTTCTAGGAAACCTACATATATATGAAAATAAGACAAAGAAGAAAAAATGATCATTTTTTAATATAAAAGTGAGCTGATGACACAGTATCTACTTGTGCCATTCTTCTTCTCTAGAATAGGAATCTTAGTGGAGGCAATAGATGGGCATCTGAGTGGTTTCCTAAGACAGGTGTCATTAGGTTCTCAAGGAGTCAAATTTAAGAGGCTTAGCCCTTAAGAGGCTCAGAAGCCCTGCTCTGGAATAACACTCCTCTGATATCTTCTTGGTCGTCTGTTTGTTGCCTTAAGAAATGCAGTGGCAAAGAGCTACAGAATCCTGGCATGAGTAGCAGAACAGAAAACCAGATGCTCCAGGAAGAAGAAACTTACACGTACTCTGGAAGCTGCCGACCAGCCCACTGGTTCCCCTGGACAGATGTGCTGGATTATCTCTTTGCAGAAGGTTGTATTTAAGTGAAAAAGCAACATGTATACACCCACAGTGCTTCCAACCAGGGGCCTTACAGTTACACTTACTGCCTGTCAATGACCCCAATGCTGGTTTCCCAAGGTCAAGGATGTCTGAAGACAGTGTGCCCAGATTTCTTCCCGTTAGGGATCTAGATAAGGCTCAGACAGACCTGGTGTGTTTTTGTTTTCCAAGAGAGGATGTGAACAAGCTGGAAGTCCAAGAGGACAGCATTAATCCAAGTCAATACAGTGGCGGTGTCTTACCCAGTGGCCCTTCTCCTGCCGACTCCAAGACCTGAGCGGCTTCCTGAGACACAACAGTGATGGCTCCGACCACTGGCTCCTGGTGGACGTCGCCGTTGGGAGTGCCGTCGGGGATGATGACTAAGCCATGTTTCTGCGGAGAGGAAGAAACCCACCATCACAAAAAACGGCCCCCAGGGAAGGAGGACATGGCAGTGAGGCGACTGACCCTGCGACAACACATGCCTGCCACGGGAACACCTGGTCAGCACTAGCTACACGGAATCTAGCTCTGCAGAGACAGGACTCACACCTACCAAATCTGGGCTGAGGAGTGAACACTGTGCTTTGTATTCAGGCTGGAAAGAGGACAGGACGGAAGGAAGGAGGAACAAAGCAGTGAGGGCCTGGCACGCGGGGGAGCTCACGTACCTCTCCCGTCTCCACTGCTGCCTTCAGCTCCGCCAGCTCCTCTCTGAGCGAGTCCCGCTCACTCCTAAGGCAGCCAATGTATTCTTTCTGTTTCTCTAGGGCCTGGTTTAGACAGGGTAGCAAGAGAAAGAACGGCACAGAAAAAGAGCAAGTGAAAGGTAGCAGAGAAGTACCTAATTCAAATTCAAAAAAGATAAAGGCATAGGAGACAAGGAAGCATTAAAAGCTTTGGAAACAAGCCGTTAGATATGGGAGGAAATACACAGTTATACGGGCATCTATCTCCAGAAGAAAGTTTTAATAGTAAGTGGTTAATCGTGCATAAATTTGGCAAAACATGCTTATCACATCAGGCAAGAAAACAAATCTTTCTTTTTCAGTCATTTAGTAATACTAAAATAAAGTCTTCCTTACAAACCTCCTAAGTACGTTTGTTTGGTAGACCAAAAAACCCACGTTTCATGTTAAACTAAAGTATATTCAAGAATATACTTGATTTTTTAAAAAATAAAAATTAGTTCTGGAGGAAAACAACCAGTATGTATACAAGGTATTTTAATTAACTACTGGCCGTAGTAATTGTTCTCCAAGTAGTATGGTAAAATATTCCTCAGATACTACTTAATTAAAAATAGCTAATCTCAGGCTTCCCTGGTGGCGCAGTGGTTGAGAGTCTGCCTGCTGATGCAGGAGACACGGACGGGTTCGTGCCCCGGTCCGGGAAGATCCCACATGCCGCGGAGCGGCTGGGCCCGTGAGCCATGGCCGCTGAGCCTGCGCGTCTGGAGCCTGTGCTCTGCAACGGGAGAGGCCACAACAGTGAGAGGCCCACGTACTGCAAAAAAAAAAAAAAAAAGCTAATCTCCCCCCCCAAAATTCTCAAGGATCTGTTTTTGTTAATTGAATTAACAAAATAATAACTAAGGGTTATTTGGTTTTCTGATATACCTTCAAAATGTGAAAAACCAAAATAAAATACTGACAAAATAAATACAGCCCACCTATGGCAGGTAGCAGAATATGGGTTTGGAAACAGGACGTTGAGTCCTGGCACCTATTTACTGACCTATGCCTCAGTTTCCTCACTGGAAAAGGGGATAATAACAGCAGTATCCTATGGGCACAGGCTGAAAGGAGTATTCAGTGTCAAGCACCCTGCCTGCAGTGTGTAAGATGCAAGCAAGGCTCAGGAAAAGCCAGACTGGGTTCCATTTTTCCCACCATTGCCTAAATCTCACACTGTCAGAGCTCAGGACAGTGGTGCAGAAGCAGGAACACACGTTTGGTCAACAATGACATATTGTTACTCTGTGTAATAAAATACCCCATACTTTAGAACCCACCCAGGATAAGCAGTCTGTGCAGGTATCTGACAGCTGGGCTATTTGAAAAAGCCTTTCTCTCCACATTTGTTCCTATATTTAATGTTTTCTACCAGCATTCCCATTAATATAAGAAGTTAAACTACAACGGGTAACTTTCCTCTTGGTTTACAGAGTTTAGAAGTGGGCTAACTGCTTAGTTACTGACTGCTGAATAGCTGGACAGCTTTTTAAATCATTATAATCCTATTTTCCAACCAGTAAGTAAATAATGGATGATAGCAACTGCCATTTGTGTAGCTCCAGGTGTTAAATATACATATAATTTCTCTCATATATTTTTAACTTAATTTCTCCCTTATATACCCTGTACTTTCCTTATGCCCATTTCACAGATCAGAAAACTGAGGTTCAGAGAGGCTACGTTTTTACCCAAAGTCACAGTAACTGGTAAAGCCAGAAAATGAATCCAGTTCTTTCTGGTTCCAAAGCCCTTGCGTACTCTTTATCTATCATTGCCCCATGGAGGCCACAATTATGTTCCCTTATTGCCATCCCAGATAGTACTGGAAAAGTAGTTCACAGGGCAGGTCCTATTCCTTACCTGCCCAAACTGAAACATGAACATCTAACTTCCTTTCAACAATTTACATTCATACTATGTGTCTAGAGTCTGAGTGTAAGTTAACAATCTGCGTTTCTAGCACCATAAGGCATTTACTCTACCACTCCAAGCTAGTATTAACACTCCATTACATTACTAGCAAGTGTAACATTAGGACAAAAAAGCCCAAGCAATACTCTCCCATCTACTGACAGCCACTCTCATCTCTGCTGCGTTGGCTACTTTGGGTTATGGTATCTGTGTGCATAGTCGTGCCATGCGTCACCACACGTAACTGGGTCAACAACCACTGTCACAACATGCTCCGTAGAAACACCACTGGAGATAAAAGACCCGTTAGGAACAGACCAATTTGAAACCCAGAATTCTAGCAAATGCTAGTACATGCCATTTGTTCCTCTTCCCAATCTAATAGCAGATTTTATCTTTACTTTTGGACTTTTAAATTTCATCTTCCCATAATTATGGATGGGGAAATAAAATACATCCTGCAAATCCTTCCATTTCACCACAAAGTTTGAAGACTACTGAAGTACCTTATAATTGGACCAAATGTATTCACACTGGATCTGAAATCCTCTTTATTACCTGACCATATAATCACTACCCTTGTGTTTGTATTCCATAATTGTTCCTACAGATTTTTTTTTTTAGGGTAAAAAGTACATGCTTGTGGAGATCTAAGTAATTCTTTACCCCTGACCTAACCTCAAATTCTAGTGTCAAGAAGCCTAAAGGCTGAACTTTTGGACAACAGGTTATAATTACATACAGGCACAAATATCTTTAGTCAGAATGGGAGTGAGCCTTGTTCTGGGCTATAGGGATATACAAGCCCTTCATATGTACTGATTATACGCATGACCACTGGGTGCTCAGAACTACACTGGTGCTAGAGGTACGACCACTAGGATCAATGAAAGAACTAAAGAAAACTGAACTTTAATATGAGAATAATGGCCATGTTCCTTCATGGAGTTACTAAATTTAAATCTTGATAATGAAGCTACTAGAGACGAGTGATATATTAGGTAGTCACAGATCATATTTAAAAATGTGTCTTTTAAAAGTCAAGGGAGGACCACCTCACACACATTAGGATGGCTACTATCAAAAAAAAAAAAAAAAGAAAGAAAAAAAGAGGAAACAAGTGTTGTCAAGGATGTAGAGAAACTTGAACCCTTGTACAGTGCTGGTGGAAAGATAAAATGGTGCAGCTGCTATGGAACACGGTATGGCTGTTCTTCAAAAAATTAAACATAGAATTACCATATAATGTAGCAATTCCCCTCCTGGGTACATACCCAAAAGAAATCACCAAGAGAGGTTTGCAAACTCATGTTCATGGCAGCATTACTCACAATAGCCAAAAGGTGGAAGCAACCAAGTGTCCAGATGAACGGATAAACAAAATGTGGTACAAGCATACATTGGAATATTATTCATTCTTAAAAAGGAAGGACTTCTGACACACGCTACAACATGTCTGAACCCTGAGAATATATGCTAAGTGAAATAAGCTAGTCACAAAAAGACAAATACTGTATGATTCCACTTTATGAGGTACCAAGAGTAGTCAAATTCATAGAAACGAAAGTGGAAGGGTGGCTGCCAGGGGCTGGAGGAGGGGAAATTGGGGAGTTGCTATTTAATGGGCAGTTTCAGTTCTGCAAGATGCAAAGGTTTCTATGGATGGATGATGGTGAGGTAGCACAACGATGTCAATGGACTTAATACCACCAAACTCCACATTGAAATTTAAATGGTCAATTTTCTGTTATTATTTTGGACTTTACCACAATTTAAAAAATTTCTTTTAAGTCAAAGGAGGGACAAACTACTGATGCATGAAACAACTTGGATCAATCTTAAGGGGAATTATTCTGAGTGAAAAAAATGTAACTCCAAAGACTGCATACTGTACGATCCCATCTATACAACATTCTTAAGATGACAAAATTATAGCAATGGAGAAGAGATTAGCAGTTGCCAGAACCTGGGATGGTGAAGGGGAGGCAGTAGATATGGCTGTAAAAGGGCAACAGGAGGGACCACTTATGGTGATGAAAAGGTTCTGCATCTTGATTATATCAAGGTCAATGCACTTGTTGTACTACAGTTTTACAAGATGTTACATTTTGGGAAAACTGGATAAAGAGCATACAAGATCTCTGTATTATTTCTTACAATTGCATGTGAATCTACAATGGCCTCAAACATTTTTAAAAAGTTTAATTAAAAAAAAAGCCTAGGGCTTCCCTGGTGGCGCAGTGGTTGAGAGTCTGCCTGCCGATGCAGGGGACACGGGTTCGTGCTCTGGTCCGGGAAGATCCCACATGCTGCGGAGCGGCTAGGCCCATGAGCTATCGCCGCTGAGCCTGCGTGTCTGGAGAGACACAGGAGAGGCTCCGCAATGGGAGAGGCCACAACAGCGAGAGGCCCGCATACCGCAAAAAAAAAAAAAAAAAAAGCCAAGTAGACAGCCTCATCCACCAAGGGCAGACAGCAGAAGAGAGAAGAACTACAATCCTGCAGCCTGTGGAACAAAAAACACATTCACAGAAAGATAGACAAGATGAAAAGGCAGAGCGCTATGTACCAGATGAAGGAGCAAGATGAACCCCCAGAAAAACAACTAAATGAAGTGGAGATAGGCAACCTTCCAGAAAAAGAATTCAGAATAATGATAGTGAAGGTGATCCAGGACCTTGGAAAAACAATGGAGGCAAAGATCGAGAAGATGCAAAAAATGTTTAACAAAGACCTAGAAGAATTAAAGAACAAACAAACAGAGATGAGCAATACAATAACTGAAATGAAAACTACACTAGAAGGAATGAATAGCAGAATAACTGAGGGAGAAGAATGGATAAGTGACCTGGAAGACACAATGGTGGAATTCACTGCTGTGGAACAGAATAAAGAAAAAAGAATGAAAAGAAATGAAGACAACCTAAGAGACCTCTGGGACAACATTAAATGCAAAAACATTCGCATTATAGGGGTTCCAGAAGGAGAAGAGAGAGAGAAAGGACAAGAGAAAATATTTGAGGGGATTATAGTTGAAAACTTCCCTAACATGGGGAAGGAAATAGCCACCCGAGTCCAGGAAACGCAGAGAGTCCCATACAGGAAAAACCCAAGGAGAAACACGC